GTTTTTTTTTTTTTTTTTTTTTTTTTTTCTTTCAAGCGACTGGTCTTGAACTATGGCAGTTGGCCATACAGGACCTAGCTGCCTTAACTACCAGGCCATGGGGTGGCCTGAGAAAGACCTTTTTCAAAGTAATGGTTCAGTAGATTAGTCCAACCACTTATGGAAATTGGTTGGCAGTAGGGGTGAGGCAGGAGGCTGAGAAACAGCTGAATGGCATCAAGAGATGAGTAAATTGGACTTGGGAGGCTGAGGCAGTCAGGGGAGGAAGCAGGGATTTGAGAGAGGCCACAGGAGGAATCAAAACTTGGGGCTTGGTTTCTACCCAGCCTCTGTGGTGTGGTACAAGTACCCTGTAAGGCTGGAAGCTATACAGTGACCATAGGTTTGGATTTCTGGGTTGACCTGAAAAATCACACCAGGTGTGAGAGTGGGCACCTGGGATCTTGAGGCGCTGGAGGGCTGGGGAAGAGAACTCGTGATGTTAGAAGACCCTTTCTGGAGTACTTCTTTGTATCTCTCCCATGTGTGCATACAGGTTCTCTGAGTACTTTTTCTAATGGGGGGCCTGATTTCTACATGTGCTTTATGTTTCCCCCTGGCATTTTTCTCTCTACCTTTCTCCTCCTGTCCTCCGTCTCCATTCTGACACCCCGCCCTCCATATCAGCCCCGCTTCTTCTACAACCTAAAACAGTCGGTAATAGGACTTCACAGATGACACAGAATGATTAAGGTGTTGCCCAGCACTCTCTCCCTGGGCCAGCCTGAGCTGGCTGGTCTTGAGTGGGTCATGAGCAGAGGAGGGGCAGGCCCCCTCTTTCTTTAGTATGTGAGTGAGAAAATCTGTTGCTGGTTAGACCTCACAGGAAGCCAGAGCCACAGGGTAGCACCTGACATCAGGTGCAGCACAGCCAGCTAGGTGAGAATACGAGCTAACACCTCTGCTCCTTCTACTCCAGGCCTAGGAAATCAGGTCACGCTTCCCCCACCCCCATGCAAGTCTGCCTGATGCCGAGGGACTGACCACTTGTGCCTCTGGGGAATGAACCATAAAGAAGTACTCATGGACCAGCTGCCAGAGTATGGCACCTGGCTGAGAATCTCAACCTAGTGGCCCACGGCTCCACTCAACCTGCAGACAGGTTTTGTTTGGCCAACCCAGGCCTTTCTACTCTCTGTTATATTGTATTCCTTCCTCCTTGTCCACTTCATGTATTTGCCTTCCTATTCTTTTTTAAAAAATATATTTATTTATCTATTTCCTTAGAGATTTTTGCCTTAGAGAGCTTGTACTTGCAGGAGAGAATGAGAGACAAGAGAGACAGAGATAGTGAGAGGGAAAGTGAGAAATCCCAAGTAGAAATGGCCATGCTGCAATCCCTTCTCTTCCAGTCTACTCTTGGGATCTTGGGCACACATGCACATGTGCCTGTCATGAATTTGAAGCCCCCAGGTCTGGGACTCAAACCACAGCCAGCCATATGGGAGTCTAGCAACCTCACTGCTGCACCATCTGTTGGTCCCTTGAGTTTCTATCATGAGCAAGAGACAGAGAGACAGCACCCTGAACAGGGTCTTGATATGGTGATCCACTCTTAGCTCTAGTCAGCCCTGTATCATGGGGACACGTGTGACTGGTGTGCCCAGGGAAATCTCGGGGTGTGAACTCATGTGGATCAGCCTTGCAAAGCCTCTTGTTCTATACTGTGCCACTGTCTAGTCCTTTTCTTGCTCCTAAGCTTATGAATTCCCCAACCTTATCCTAGCAGGGCATGAAGAAATGCAAGATTATTCCAGGAATTTCTGATACTACTAGAAAACACAGGCAAGGGGAGCTGACCATGTTGGCCCAGGGCATGAGGCAGACTTCGTACTTTGCATTTGAATTTAGATAAGA